ACTAAAATACCCCCAAAACCCAAACCTCTGCTTGGAGAGTACTTTTGGCTTGCTAAATGCAAGAAAGATACTGACTGTGTCATTATTTCCTTTTATGGATGCATTGACATAATTCAAGTAAACTAATACAATCAAGTGTTTCAGATTAGTTCTAAAAATTTAGAAGAAGGTCTCCCATGCTCTTATGCCGAGTGTAGGGCAGTGCCCATCTCCATTCTGTAGCCCTTGGGCGACACACATTTGTGCAAGGTACTACAGCAGTGGGCTAGTCCGCTGGTAGTGCTGTGGGTTTGACCTTCCCACACTCTTTCTCATAGATTCCGAGTGCTAAGCAGAGAAAGAAATGTATGACCCGGCCAGGCCAGGGTTTGAACTCACAACCTCCCGGTTACAAAGTGAGCACTCCACCAATTGACCTGTTGCACCGGTGCCAAAACTAGAGAATTAGATTGTTAAAATTACGTTTTCAGCAGTAAGACTCCAGCAAATAGCAGGACAAAGCTACACATTATCAGTCCATCGTTTATTACCTCCATCGCCTAGCTATAGGTTACTTGTCTTGCGTCACAACCTGTCATGTAACAGCTGACTGACTCCAATACTGCCACGCCCCCTCTACTGATGATGTCATACATGACGTGGGCTTGATGAGGTCACCAGCTGTCAATCACTGTCCATTCAATAAAGCACGACCTATTACGACCTATGACCTCCTATAACCTCCACAACACACTCTGAATACAATCTATTCTCACACATCACTGATCAAAACTCAATATAATATACTTAGTCTAGTAATTGCAGTTCTACAACCATACATAGGAGTATAGCTATGCTGTAGTAAAGAGTTGGTCTGAATCTAGAGTTCTCTTCACTAAGGCCAAAATTGCAAACGGTAATTAAGTGACCAATTATCATTAGTGTGTCTGACGTGAGCACGGCTCACATGCGTTGTCTGTTTTCCGCTCCAATGGACCACAAAAGACTAGTTGAACAGGTTTTCGGCAAACCAGTTTAAAAGCCGGGGCTCCAATAGTAGCATAACTAGTGGGCATTTCATAGCTTGTGGTGGTAGTGACAAGACAACATTCAAGCAACATGATCGTAAGTGCTGGTAGTTTTCATAGTAGCATTTTTATTTTTGTGGTACATAGTTTTTGCCAAAAATCTGTTTTTTCTACCATGTGACGTACTTTGTATCAAGGAGGTTACATGCTCTACTTAATGTTCTCCCTAAAAACGATGAAATCGAAGTCGCTCCTCCTGGAGTCCTCACCCCAGGGCCGTGCCATGTTGGAACTAGATGTAAAAAACGTGTAGCATGCGACTTGCTATCTGTAAAAATCAGGGTAATGTGTCCCTTGACATGAATTTGAATCTGCACACCTGCTACAAACATTGTTGAATTTGAGACAAATATTGTGTTTGCTCCTAATATAAACCTCGAAAAGTGTCCCTTCTTTAAAACTCACCTTTTTTTTTACTGGACTAACAATCCAGTGTTTTATTCACCTGAATATTAACTTGAATCCTGGTCAGTCGGTACCCTTTCCCAGGGTAATAAGACTGTCAATGTAGTTAAGACAGTATTGGCAGTTCAGTATGAGAAGTCTTAGTTATAACGATCCAAGTGTTGTTTCCATTCTACAGCCAGTTTGGCCTTGAAGACATTGACTGAACTACTGTTCACAGTTTTATTTCAAGAAAGCCAGAAATACTCTGAAAATACTTCCTTAAAGTCCAAATCTCTGATTTCTTATTTTCTGTGTTTTCTTTTTTTTTCAGGAACTTTGTCAGCTACTGTTCACAGATTTATTTTAAAAAAAACTAAATACTCTGAAAATATTTCCTAAGAGTCTCAAGTCTTTTTAAAATATTTTCGTTTTTATCCAGGAACAGATGATGAAGGCCCTGATCCTTGTTAGCTACTGTTCACAGTTTTATTTCAAGAAAACCCCAAACACTCAGATAAATTTCCTAAAAGTCTGAAGTCTCAAATTTTAAAATGTTTTTGTTATCTCCAGGAGCAGACGATGAAGGCCCTGATCCTTGTCGGCGGGTACGGTACCCGGTTGCGACCTCTGACCCTGAGCCGCCCCAAACCGCTTGTGGAGTTCGGCAACAAGCCCATGGTCCTGCACCAGATTGAGGCTCTCGCCGAGGTCAGTTTTAAAGCTCCGCAGAGACCCATTTTTTGGTAGTCTCTACGAGTTGTTTACGTTTGAGCCACTCTACTTTTTATTATTGGTTCTCAAACCATACGACCTTCCATTTGTTCCAAAAATCAAATTTAAAATACGGCTAGAAGGAAAATTTGAGGCTGATTCACTCCCTAAAACAATATAAAACAATATATTCTACATAAAGAACAGACTTTCCCTTCATATTCTGTTTTCATGTTGAAAATCTATTTAAAAATAGATACTAGTAATTTATTTCTTGTGCGGTGTTCAATCATATTTCAAAGAAAGTATCTTCATGTTCAGTGCTAAAATTATCTTCTAAAAGAAACAACAGGTTAGTTATTGAAAGGGAAAAGGATATACTGTATAATGTTCTTAACCATAATGTGTTATTTTTCTTGCTGTCTTCAGGCTGGAGTGACCCACATAGTTCTGGCTGTGAGTTATCGAGCTGAGATGTTGGAGAAAGAGATGAAAGTCCAGGCTGACAGGGTAGGTACACTGGTGGACATTTCATAGCCTGGGTGCCAGACTGTTTCCAGGGCCTACACAAGCCAGATCCTTACGGCTAGCCTGGGTGTCAGACCAAGGACATTGCACATTGTAGACTGTCCTTGACCTTGGTCAGACAGTTTTCAGGGCCTACCCAGGCCAGGTCCTCAGTTCTACAACTATAGCCTAGCAGCCAGACTTCTTCCAGGGCTGACACAGCCAGATCCACAGCTCCCAAGGGCTATAGATGTAGAGCTAGCCTGGGTGCTAGACTACTTTCATGGCCTACACAGGCCAGATCCTTAGCTCTACATCTATAGCCTGGATGCTAGACTACTTGTAGGGCCTACACAAACACACACACACACACACACACACACAGGCCAGATCTTTGGCTCCAAGGACAACATGCCCCCAAGAAAATTTTTACCGTAGAAACTCTGGTTTAGGCCTTGGGAAAGCTCTTGGGTGCCTGTGGTAAAATTTCCCTAGGGGATGGTTGGCCCTGGAGCTGAGGAGATGGCCCTTGTAGTATCTGTAGGCCCTGGGAACAGCCACAATCAGGGTATATGTTAAACATTGTAGTAGAAGCTTCCAATATAACTCCTATAGTGTACTTCTCATATTGATGACATAATTACAGACAATTTTAGACAAATTTAATACTTATTGCAGACAAATAGAGACTAATTTCACTATTTACATAACAAGTTGTTTCAGAATTACATTCTTGTTAGAAGCCCTTTCACTGTGAATTTTGTAATTACTGAATCTTTTGATATATAATGATATATATAACACTTTTCCTTTCTAAGTGTGTGGACTTATGGCATATTTTTAAACATTTTTTTGTTTGTTTTCGAATTGTAGTTGGGTATCCAGATCAGCATGTCACATGAAGAAGAACCACTTGGCACAGGTAATGGAATTTTGTAAGAAGAAAAATTTAATTGCACGACAATTGTTCATGGTTCACTGTATGGCAATGACTCTTGAACATAGTACAAAAAAAAGAGAGAGAAAAGGGTATAGAATGAAAAGTAACATTTTAATTACTAAACATCAAAAGCTAATTCAGTATACAATCAATAAGGGCTAATTATGAAACATCTTTTTTTTGCCCTGTGGTGTTGGATTACATTTTGTAGCTAGTGAAAGGACAGGGGCTGGTCAACATACGTGTATCTGTATAACCAGTATAACCGCCCTTCAGCGTAACACACCAGCTTTGCAGGCACGCGGCTATATTACCAAATCACTTGTTACACCTAACCTTTGAACTTCTAACTCAAAACATTGCTTAAAGCTATCTAATGACAACGCCCCTACTGTACTAGATGACAGCGAGTTCTACTCTGCGATAGTTCTATGAAAGAATGAATTCTTGAACACTTCAATCCTTGGTTGATAACCCTAGTACTAGAAGGCATGACCATTTCTTGTTCTTTTCTTAGCTGGTATTAGGTACTTAGTAATGTTTTTTTTTTCTTCTCCCAGCGGGTCCGCTGGCTCTGGCGCGGGAGATCCTGGCAGGAGACGAGGAACCGTTCTTTGTCCTGAACAGCGACGTGATCTGTGACTTCCCGTTCGAGGAGATGCTCAAGTTCCACAAGAGTCACGGCAAGGAGGGGACCATAGTGGTGAGTTGGGAGCAAAACTCCCCTGTTTGTCAAATAGACTGGTCCAGAGTCTATAGTAATAGTCTAGATCACTTTGGGATGTACCAAAATCTGGGGGTGTAGAGTTTGGAATAATGGTCCTAAGGAATAATTTAAAAAATTCATTAGGTCACACCAATTCAATTTGTTGGTTCACGGATTCACCCCCTTCATTTTTTTCTGATTTGCAAAAAAAAGAAAACATTTTAGGCTCTGAATCAACTCCAAAATGCTCATATTTGGGAGTTGTTTCAATTTTTCCATCTTTCAATGCAGTGGTTTGATTAAAAGTTGGAAATTCATAGTTCGAATTGCGAAAAAAAAAAAAATAACAAAATATTCCCATTAACTTAGAGTTTAATCATTTTTTTCCTTTCAGGTAACAAAGGTAGAGGAGCCGTCCAAATATGGTGTGGTGGTTTACGACGGCCAATCGGGAAAGATCGACAGGTTTGTGGAGAAGCCGAAGGAATTTGTGTCCAACAAAATCAACGCCGGGATGTACATCTTCTCTCCCAAGATCCTCGACAGGATACAGGTCAGTCTGCAGTCCATTTTACCCATTTTATTTCAAATCAGTTTGTTTTTGCAGGGACTAAATTTCATAGAGGATGGGTCAAATTTTTTTGCTGTTTCAAGTTTGCAGTTGGAGCAATTCCATTCATGATTTACAGTACCAGTATATTTTTCGTAGGATTTGAATATTTTTGTATGATGTATGTGTGTGTGTGTGTGTGTGTGTGTGGAGAGAGCAGGAAGAAGCTTTAGATGGATTGCCTGATCTTCACTTTTTTTAAAGAAATGGCTAGACTGTAGAGTCCCCCTAGCAGCATTCTCTAGTACAGCAACAACATTCCAGCTTTGCTATCTTCCACCATATTCAATATACATGTCATCATCGGTCAGCTGCGGCGTAATATACATGTAGCTTGCTCTGAACAAAGCATTTTGGTTCACAGCTTAATTTTTCATGCTCTAGTTACGTACATAAGATGCTTCTCTCTATAATTACTGCCAACATCCCCTGGGGCGAATCTCAGCAGTTTCTAGGAAGGCACTCTGTGTGTGTGTGTGTGTAAGCCTAAGGTCTACTCTATTGTTCTCAAGAAATAATGATAAGTGCCTTACTGACGTGAAGAAAAATACCTCCCTAATTTAAATAAATTAAGATAATAAAGGGAATACAAAAATGGCTTAGAAAGCTCTGATGGCAGAAAGGGACAGAAATCTACGGTACTCGTGGTATTTTTGAGTCCACAAAGACACAGGAAAACGCATGCATGTTTAACAAAAAGACTTTGACTACTAAGTAGTAATTAAATCCTATACACAAGTCAGACTATCATTTTGTCGTTGATGATTTTGCATCCTCAATTTTGCAGCCACAGCTTTGTTGAAGTGTTGTACTTGTATACTTAACACAGTCTATGTTTTTCCCTTCCAGTTGAGACCAACTTCTATTGAGAAGGAAATCTTCCCAGTCATGGCTTCAGATGAAACACTGTATGCCTTCGACCTCAAAGGTAGGTATCTTTTAGTTGTTACTGAACATGATTTTTGGGGTGGCAAATTGCTCTTCCAAGTCTTGGAAAGAAGTAGTAAATGTATTAGGTTTGGACCACCTAGTACATTTTTATCAAATTGCAAAGACCAGATTTCTGGGTGGACTTCCAGGTATATTTCTGATCATGTGAAATGTACTTGTGATGATCATGTGCTTTATTTTTGCAGGTTTCTGGATGGATGTTGGGCAGCCCAAAGACTTCCTGACGGGCATGTGCATGTTCCTGACCTCCCAGAGACAGAAGTGTCCTGAGAAGCTGCACCAAGGAGACGGCATCATCGGAAATGTCCTGGTGGTCAGTCTTTCTCCTTTTTGTCAAGTTACTTTCATTGCTAATTTTGTGCACCAGACATACCAGGGCTCGAAATTAACAGATCCCAATGTCCACTGTCCACTAAAATATAGGTCAGGACAACTAAAAAGAGACTTTGGAACATTTTGGGGACAATAGAAAAATAATCAACATCAGACTGTCAGCCCCTTTTTCGTTTATCAGGTACACGTCTCTGCTTTTGGCCCCTACGCTGCAATAATAGTGTGCCATAGAGCTGGGAGTCAGAACATAAGCAAAATAAAGTTGGCTTCAAGTTGAACTTGTGCAATGCTTTCCGAAAAACAGGTTGGGACAGCTCATCCTCACTTTGGGACAACTGAAATTTATTTTCAGGACAGTGCTGGGACAACAGGAAAAAAGTTAATTTCGAGGCCTGCATACATGTGTGATGTTTTAAAAAGAAAACACATCTATCTGTACTTTATTAGGTCGGGATTTAATTTTGCAATAGAAAGGGAAGGTATTTCTGACAGTAGTAAGACACCAAAAGGCAGGCCATACTTTTTTGTGTACTTTGTCAACGGCTTTGATATTTGATGGTAAGATATATTCAGTACAGTCCAAAACTACATGTGCTTTTCAGTCTGTTAATTATACACCACTACTTTCCGTTGGTCAATCCGCAGGACCCAAGTGTGAAAATTGGTGACAACTGCTGAATCGGCCCTAATGTGACGATCAGCCCTGATGTGGCACGTATCAAATGCTGCACTATCTTGAACATGTTTTTAAAGATACATGTGAATTAACCTTTTTCTCTCTCTCCCTTTTCTCTCTCTCTCTCTCTCTCTCAATCAACAGGACCCAAGTGCAAAGATCGGTGACAACTGCCGTATCGGTCCCAACGTGACGATCGGCCCTGACGTTGTGATCGAGGACGGGGCGAGGATCAAACGTTGCACCATTCTGCGCGGCTCCGTCGTCAAGTCCCACTCATGGCTGGACTCAAGCATCATCGGCTGGAGGTCACAAGTCGGGCGATGGGTGAGATTATTTTTTATTGAATGAATGATAGATTGAAGGAACGAATGGATAAATGAATGAATGAATAAGTGAGTGAGTGAATGAATAAAAGTCCCACTCATGGCTGGACTCGAGTATCATCGGCTGGAGGTCACAAGTCGGACGATGGGTAAGATGTTTTTGATTGATTGAATGTATGATCAAATGAATGAATGATTGAATGAATGAATAAAAGTCCCACTCATGGCTGGACTCGAGTATCATCGGCTGGAGGTCACAAGTCGGGCGATGGGTGAGATATCTGTATTTTTGAATGAATGAAAGATTGAAGGAACGAATGGATAAATGAATGAATGAATAAGTGAGTGAGTGAATGAATGAAAGTCCCACTCATGGCTGGACTCCAGCATCATCGGCTGGAGGTCACAAGTCGGGCGATGGGTGAGAAATTTAGACTTTAAAATTTTATAATTTAGACCAGTTTCACAGTAATCAGAGTAATCAGTTGATCATCAAGCACTGTGGTTGATGCTTGATGATTGTAACAACTCTCCTTTAGCTGCCAGCTTTAGGTGACAGCTATTCTTCCAGCATAGCCTGCAAAGACTGTAATAAATACGACTGATAGATTCTAATTCTGCTAATTGGTCCCGTTTCTGAGGAGAGCCACACCTCGAGCATGTTAAAGAGCCCCCCACACTTATCACAAAGAGTAGAGGTCCTTCCCAGTGTGTGTGGATCAAACCTTACAGTCCTATGGCCGCACCTGTGGTCACTAAATGCTACATTGTAGGCCCTTGTGGTTTCTAAGCTCCTTGCAATTCAACCATCTCTTCTGTATCTGTATATGTATAGCTGGTATAGCCCTTGGCATAACACACAGCTACTTGCAAAGAGAGAATAGTCCATCCACCAAGTAAATAACAAATGTTCTGTGCCCGTCATGGCACTTTATTGTATTAGATTTTGTAATATAGCCATTAATGTGTGATGTACAAGTTTTCATCTCAATAAAGTTGTGTACAAAGTACAAAACAAATGTTAATCCCTTCGTGTTGTTTTCCCCCCAGGTGCGTATGGAGAACGTGTCAGTCCTGGGGGAAGACGTGATCATCGGAGACGAGCTCTACATCAACGGCGGCCGCATCCTGCCCCACAAGTCCATCTCTGCCTCCATTACAGACCCACAGATCGTCATGTAGGATCCAGAGAATCCTCCAGTTAGGTCACAAATCAGAGTTAGATCACAATTCCTGGATTTCAAGTCCATCTCTGCCTCCATTACAGACCCACAGATCGTCATGTAGGATCTCGGAATCCCAGAGTCAGATTACAGAATCCTCAAGTTAGATCACAGATCAGTGTTAGATCACAAATCCTGCCCCACAAGTCCATCTCTGCCTCCATTACAGACCCACAGATCGTCATGTAGGATCTCGGGATCCCAGAGTTAGATCACAGAATCCTCAAGTTAGATCACAGATCAGTGTTAGATCACAAATCCTGCCCCACAAGTCCATCTCTGCCTCCATTACAGACCCACAGATCGTCATGTAGGATCCAGAGAATCCCCAAATCAGATCACAGAATCCAGGAGTTAGATCACAGACTTACAGATTGTCAAGTAGGATCACTGAATCCCCAAATCAGATCACAGAATCCTCAAGTTACCGGTAGATCACAGATCCACAGATTGTCATGTAGGAGCTCAGAATCACCCACTCCTCAAGTTTGGGGTCACAAAATGATTTGGAATCCCCAAATTCTCAAGTCAGGTCTCCAAATGTAAAATGAGCTTTCATCAGCAATGAATGACCTCAGCTTAGTTGATCTTTTGCCATTTGAACCCTGACCTCAATTATAGGTGAGTTCAGGGTCAGGGGTCAGCCAACAGGGTGATCACTACCTGTGACCTTTGACTTTTGCTGTAACCAATAAGCTTAAATCGCACTAAATATCCAGACTTATAGCAGTGAAGCATTGAAATGTGTTAAACAAAAAGCACTACATCAACCTTATGCGCTTCAAAACAGCGACTTTCTCCTTCCAAAATCTTCCAAATAACTAGATATTAAAAGCTGAGCTGGAGCTCAGTAGCCTGGGTACCATCCCCAGTAGTATATTCGCAAACTCTATAACTGGGTCTGGACTTGCACACATATAAAACGATTGGTCATGACGTCACGTAATGAGCTAGCCCGAGCAGCGGGGCTTCATTTGATTGGCTGAGCCTCAGAGGCGACGGCCAATGGCGCGCCTGCATTATTCAAGTGATGTTTGTTGTTTTGTAAACACAGATCTTCGCGCGAGTGTTCCTTTTCTCGGTGCGTTCTTTTTTTTTACCGGTAGGACGCCCAAAACATCACGAACGAAATTATTCAATGCATCTTTTTGCTCCTTTTTGAGCGACGCTATTCCGTCTAAATCGTCCAAAACGGACGTGATTGCGAGGTCAACATCAACCTCCGTGAGCTGAGTGGCTTGTGCGTCAGCCATGTTGATGATTTATCGCGGAAAGACTGCTATATCATGTGCGCTTTAGCGTTCGGTTCGCCGTCGGACATGTTGATGATAAGGCGTTCGGACGTTCGAACGGACGCTAACGTCGCCGTTCGGACGTCCGAACGGCCCTTACCTAATATGTACATACCCCAAAAGGGCTTAGACGAGTAGGACCAATCAGCGCGCTCGTTCAAAATCTGAACGAATATTCAGACTCCAGACGCTACATATGTGTGCAAGTCCAGACCCAGTTATAGAGTTTGCGAATATACTACTGGGGATGGTACCCAGGCTAAGGCAACAGAGGGAAGAATCAAGAAAATGAGAGAAAAATTAACGTTGGGTAACTACAACCAATATTTTATATTTTCAGTGTCTTATTGATTTTCGCATTTCTCATTATCATTAAATAACGTTAATGTTGTAGAGCGCTGTGACAAAGCTCTAATTTGTTCTTCCTTCATGGTACAATTATGGAGATTGGTTACATACAACCCGACTAGTTTGGTTACGTACAAATTACTAGTATTCCAATGATGAAAAACTCAAATTTGCCTATGGGCCGCTTTTCATGGAGGTCATAAGGGAAGAGTTCAGGGTCAAACAAAATTTATCAGTGTCTTTCCAAATGAAATGTACGGAAAGAATCCCTTCAAACAGCGATAATATCGAACCTGGTTAGTCTGGTAACCGTTATCTACAGACCAGCTTACGCCGGGTGTTGTACCGGCCTTGGTCCTATTATTATATTCCTGTAGCTCCCATGATATTCTACATCTTTCCACCCAGACTTTCTGGGTACTAAAAGTATTGCCGTCCTGTAGACGAACTAGTTGAAACCAACCCTGAACTCCTAGCGAGATACGGGGTAGCCTACGATGGCCTAGCTGCCAGGCTAGCTCGTCCCCTCCCTGGTCATCCATCGCCTTCCCGTGACTGGGTCGGGCGGTGAGCGTCGTGCGTCTTCCCGGTACTAAAAGCGCGCGCCGTCCGCCGGAGATTAATGCCAACACTTCCCCGGTATAATTACATGCCAAATTAAATTTATCGGAGAGCCACAGAAATCGAGGGTGACTTCGAACCGGAGTTCGTTTCATGGTCACGCGCGTGTTTCTGGAAAAAAGCGCCGCGGGAACTGCGGCGTTCGGGGAAGGGATTGGGCTTATCTCATAGCCTTGAGCTGGAGAAAAGGACGGACAAGCTCCGTCTTTAAGGAATCGTGTATCTCTAAGACGCGGTTCTAAGACGGACAGGAAACGCAAGCCGGAAACATTCGTCTTTGAGGATTGAGTTGTATCCTTGCCACCTATGTTTCAAACCTTCCTCATCATTTCTTGTAAAGAAGAGGCAAATTGGGTTCTTTCTTCTCTGGCTAGTTTGATCTATTTTAGATCCTTTGAAAGTCTCGGAGGAAATAGCTTTCCGTTTCCCGCAGGTTTCTGGTCGTAACCGCATCTGCCTGAACCACGGAAGTCCGAACGCGCTCTGTAATTCTAGCAATCGTCATTATTAAACAGAATACGTGATGAGCACTCTATGATTTTCCTCCACGTTGGTTCAGACGGTGAAGTTTCATCTCTTTTCCCCTGCCTCCTCTTCAAATCGTTAGATAGTCGCGCCGTTTCCGTTATTTCTGTGCGCAGATTATCTTTCAAAGTCGAAATAATCGATATTCTGCCAGGGAAGCTACCGACCATTGCGCAATACTCATCCGGAAACAAAATTACCTCTCCTTTTCAGATCGATATCAATTCTCTCCCAACAATCGTCAAAATCCTTATCGGTGGAATTCCTGTTTTTTCCTATCTAGTCTTTGATTTGCAAAGACTGCCGACTGATTATATATTATCACCAGAATCTAGAATGGATCACTACACTACAATAACAAAAGAAAATGGGATATCCCTTTGTTTCGACCATTGATGGTTAAATAAAAATCTTTTGCGCTAAGTTACGTCCTCAGACTGAACATTTTGAAAAACGTTTTTGTCAGACTACGGTAAGTATGAGAAGCATGTATCCTATCCTAGGCTTCATTTCAGAGGAATTGGCCAAATAGACAGATAACATGCGGCAATCTGTACTCCTTGAGCGGACCAACTCTCCCGGCATGTTATGGTGTTATTTGATTGTTTGGCCAGTTTCTACTCTTTCCAGCCGCCTCTGAAGCCTGATAGAGGCTACAAAGAATGCTCTTCCCGCGTGTCAGTCTTGCAATGACCGTTCTCCTCGCTACAGTACGTTTGTTGAAAAGAGAGATGGGCGGCCAATATTGGGCGGGACTCGCTGACAAAAGACATAATCGCAGCCAAGCGCCCACACTTGCTCTTCCCGCCGTACCCTTCCTGATTAATTCTGCCCCTCCAAGTTCAATCGTTCCGGGGTGGTGTGCCGTTTTCCTTTTCATCTCCGCAGACAATTGTTGCTGCAGACACGAACGAGCTCCGCGGAGAATCTTTAATTAAACCCTGCGCGAGTGTCACAATAATTCATACATTTCGCGCGCGCCGGTTTCGCCCCTCTGTAACATTTCCGGTCAGAGTCATCAGACGATTCACGCCAGAGTTTTCTCATTTCTAAAACCCAATATTGGGGGGCATCGCAGACATTGAGCATTGGCTACTCAACGAAATTATGTTTATTTAAATCAACCCGCATTTGTGATTCTCATCACTGAATCACGATCTGAATAATGATTGCTTTTATCAAAGATATATAATATCTTTTGATGTTGAAAAAGGAACTTTTCTTAACGATGGAAAATACATTTCGATGTAGATTCATCTGCTTTGCAGGAAAATACGTCTTTTTCCATCCATCAAAGCCAGTTATGAAACTTTCTTGTTGTCCTGATAACCAATTGTCTGTAAAAAGTTGATTTTCATTGATTTTCTCCGTTTGGGCAAGACAGAAGGAACCTTTGAGTCGCTCCCCTCTGCATTGCGACTGAAGGGTAATGAAAATGATGGCTCCCAACCCTGACTAACTGCGCTCATCTTCAGCGTTCCGCCACGTCTCATGATGGGACCCTTTTTTTAGGAGAAGAAATATCGGACGACGTTATTACACCGGAAATGTCGCCGTGGCAACTGGGGGTACCTTGGGAACGAGAGGACGTCTCCGGATGTCATTTTTCTTTCGGGTAGTGTAATTGAACGAGGGCCCAGAGTGCTATCGTTACAAAGTCCCCCATCTATTCACATTCACGCCCTGCCGGATTGGAATTGATTCGCGCGCGGATTTTTGGCGACGTGTGTTTGAGGAGACTCCGATAGCGACTGTCAGGTTGGGTTGTCGTCTACTGGCGAGTCCTAGCCTCTGCCAGGCTTCAGAGGCGGCTGGAAATAGTAAAAATTGGCAAAATAGACAGTCAGATAACATGATGGGGGAGTTACCCCACTACGGGAGTACATCAGCAGCAAAGTCTACTCCTTTAGCGGACCAAGGAGTTTCTTTTTGAAGCTCCTTGAGCGTACCAACTCCCCTGGCATGTTTCCATCCGCCTCTGAAGCCTGGTAGAGGCTAGACTAGTCCAGGGAGAGGCACAAAAACAAAGTAATGCCGATATCTATCGCAAGATATCTACAAACAAATGTTGTAGTGGAAAATTTAAAAACTATTCTCATTCTGACTGCCTTTTTTTCAGCGACTTTGCTCAGCCAAGAGAGGCACAGAACTTAGTGAATTCGGGTTACTGGACTCACAGCATCTCTTCTTCCTAAAGTCAGAAAAATCAATGCTGGAGTAGCCTCTACCAGGCTTCAGAGGGGGTGGAAAGAATAGACATTGACCAAATAGAGAGATAACATGCCAAGCAAGTTGGAAAACTACTCCTTTAGCGGACCACCTCCCCCGAATGTTATCTCTCTATTTGGCCAATGTCCACTCTTTCCAACCGCTTCTGAGACCTGGTACAGGCTAGGTTGGTTACCGTACTTGCCCCCCAAAAGTCTGCTTTGAGATTACCAGAAAGCGTCGTCCCATCCGAGCATGTTCAGCAGAGCGAGCAGCTCACAGCTCTGACCCTGACCCTCGGAGAAAACTCTCCTGATTTATGAAGCTGAGAAATCTCGGCGAATTAGAACTTTCTCTCAGCTAATTGCCTTCGCCGACCTCTGTATTGCGGAGAGGAAAATTAATACTTCGCCCTGCGTGTCCCCCTGTGAGCATCCAGCGGTCCCGGGTTGGCGTTAGGTTATAACATTACCTGTATGGGCAGACAGGTTACCTTACCTGTGCAGGCATACAGGTGTGTGTAAGGAGACAGCAACCCTACCAAGCAGAGGTTTAGCCTTGGGATTATTTTTTGACGTATTTTTATCGTGCTTTTTTGTACTGGTACTAGTATATATTTTTCAGCCAAATAGATACTGCACTGCCAACATGATACTGCCTTGCCAATTTCATACTATCTTTAATACAGCCACCCAGGAAAAGAACAGCTTGGGGATAATCGTATACATCGATGAAGGTTAGACATTCAGACAACATTATGTAATACAAAGTAAATCAGGCAACTCTATAAGTTACATGAAGACTCGGGTGGTTCATATAGTATCCACTGGTTGAGAAATGAAAAAAGCACCATCT